GTCACTCTGGTACAGGGGGTTAGTGAAGTGATTGTGGCGCCTAGGGACTGAAGGCACTATTCCACTCCAGTCAGGTATTATACACTGAGAAATGTCTACATTAGTTCTCCAGAGCTCCCTGCCAAGCGAGCCAGCGCAGGCAAGAGACGGGAACCCCTGCCATGGAAAACCTCTCGCTAGAAGATTGTAGTGGAAGCCTGGCGTGATCTCAGGTAAAGAAACCTTCTGCTTCTTGTGATGATACTGCCTTTCCCCCCGCCTCCTCCCTGCTTCTTCCCCTGTCTCAGAGCCTGCTTCTCCAGCTGCCAAGGAGCTGCTAGGGGGACGAGAAGCGACCTGTGATAAATCACGGGCGCCGGGCGAGCCTTACCTAGGGCAGCGCGCACATCTGGGCTAGCCTGGGTGCTCTGTCTTGGGCAGGGGGGTGTGGGTCCGGGGCTGAAGGCAGGGACCGGAGTTCAACTTTCTGGATTTGACGGCAAAGTTGGAAAGGCATCGCCGATGATTTCGTAAGAAAGTTTGTATCGGTGAAGGGTTGTTTTTGGTTTTTTAACCGGCAGCTGCGAGAGGCAGAGGAGGCAGCGTGGGACTGCCTGGGGAGCCCGCGGCGCCTGGCAGATGGGAGCTGGAAGGGGAGATCTTGTGTAATCTTGGCTTGGCTGCTCAAAGAGTGGTGGGACTTGGGCAGCGTTACGGGGCACCTGGCAGGCACTGTCGTGGCTTGCACAAACCTGGCTGTGCTGCGGGCTCCAGCTCACCAGGCGGCAGCTGCCCAGATGCGGGTTCAGGTGGCTCCTCCACGCTGAAAACTTTTGGGTGCGCGTGTGTGCCTCGGCTCCGGGTCTGAAATGTTCCGTGCTAATACATTGCAAGGACCAGCACGGGAAGGCGAGGCCTTCCTGCAGTCGTCTGGAGGGCTTGCCAAGAGGATTTAAGTGAAGACTACAAATTAAAAATGTTCCAAGTGGGTAGCTTTAAACAGCTCGTTTTACACGTAGTGGTAATCGGAGTAAATTAACATCAGAGCTGCCCTTTTAGGCAACTCTTTTGCGTGTCATCCTTACTCTAGTGATCGCAAACCATAGTGAGGATATCTGGATATGTATCTTTGTATATGTATCTATGTATATGTGTGTGTGTGTGTGTGTGTCTGTCCGTATCTATCTATCTGTCTATCTATCTATCTATCTATCGCTATATAGAGAGGTATATATATGTATATCAATATCAATATCTATATATATCTATATATCTATGTGTATATATATCTATATATCTATCTATAGATATATAGATATATATATATAATGTGTGTATAATATATATCACTATATAGAGAGGTATAGAGGGGGGTGTATATGTGTGTATATATATACACATATACGTATACGTATATACATATATATATATACACACACACACACACACACACACATACACCCCTCTATACCTCTCTATATAGCGATATATTATACACACACGTGTGTGTGTGTGTATATATCTATATATTTATATAGATATATATGCATTTATATAGATATATATGCATATATACATATGTGTGTATATATGCATACATATGTATATATACATGTGTGTGTTGTGTGTGTGCGTGCGTGCATATATATGTATGGATGTATAGGTAGAACAGATGCAATGACCTGACCGGCTCTCACCGTGGCAGGCAGGGCGTGTGTGATCACACTTCGGGCACCCTCGTTGGAAATCTGCGGATTTAATGTCAGCGCCGACTTTCTGGGAGCTAATCTGTCTGTAGATGTTGCAGGCTGCCCTCCGTGCGGTGTCAGATCCTAACTGGGCAACGTGTAGTGCTTCACAGTGTTTGTCAGGCAGTGTCAAGGTTGCTTTAAATCTTTAACGTGAAAACAAAGCAAACTCGACTGCAGGAACTCGCGGAGGTGCATTTAGCCCATAAGCAAATACCGTCGCCCTGAAATACTGCACGAGGAGGCAGTAACACCTCCAAAATAGGAGGCGATGAAAATAGACACAATAAAGCTGTCGCCGCATCCCCTCGAGTCTTTGCAGACGTCCATCAAAGCCCAGCCTTGCCCAGGCTCTCTCTGCTTTACCTGCTGTGGCCTGTTCGAGTACCGCACAGTTTCCTTCTTGCTTCATGTTTTTTTATAATAAAACTTGTATGAACATTGGCTCCGGTTCCTCTGAGGAGGAAGAAATCTGCCAGTGCATAACCCTTGAAGCCATACTTCATTTGGCTGGGATGCAGAAAGACTTGTGTGTGTGTGTGTGTGTGTGTGTGTGTGTGTGTGTGTGTGTGTGTCTACACGGACTTATTTTTCTATTGGGGAAAACTCCACCATTTCACGTTGATCTTGAAGGTCTTACTTTCTTTTCACTTTGGAGGGGAAAAGGCAGGGGTTGATTATTTCGCTCAACTATTTTGTGCTGGGAAGGGGCATGGCAAGGATTAATGTTCATGGCACTCCAAATACCTGCATTTTCCACGTGCTTAAGGGGATAGCCCACACCATTAAGCCTTACTCCTTACGTGTGAGCAGTGCAAGCTTGCTTATGTGCGAAGAACCACAGTGGTTATTTTAAATCACTGTTGGGCTTGTGCTTGAGTTCTGGCAGCCAAAAATCATGGTGAATTATAACTTCGTGGAGTTTTGCATCAACAAAAAGCCATTATTGGTAGATTGTAAGTGAAACATAACAAGGCAGGAACACTTTCTGAAGAGGTCATGGCAACTTTTATAAATTGGCTATTTCAAGATCTTAATATATTAAGGGGGGTTTTAAATGAAAGCCGTCCAGGGAATGCCGAATGGTGCTGGCATAATGCTGACTTAGGGTAAGGTAATACAGCAGGCAGGCTGGAAAGGAAAATGACAAATTATTAGAGTGATTAATAAAGGAGCCTTCAGTGCAAAAGAAATGGATATCAGCGGATTTGCATGGTGCAGGGTGGTGAGAGACAATTGGAGATATATAAATAGACAAGGGGTATAAATATTGAATCTGATCTTGTATTTTAAAGATTAATAGACTCATCTAAATATCAGTCCTGTGGTGTTCGGGGTGTCACTGCCGGCTTGACGTCTGCACTAGCATCAAAAGAAAAAGACAGGACATGCGAAACTACGGTCTAAAAAACGGAGAGAAGGTGTCGCAGTTCCTCAGACCCCTTCTCTGTCCCTATCAGCTAATTATAGCGCTTTACCCTGAGCTACTCTCCAGATAAGTGCCACCGTTCCTGTCTCCGGCACCGCTGAATTATCCCTAGTGTTTAGAGAGTCCAAACTGAGCTTAATAACAATAGGAGTGCTGTGCAGTGCAGTGCAGTACAAACATCTTCATTAGAAACCCCCCCCCCCATACACACACCTTTTTATTTTTATTTATTTTTCTTGACGTATTGATTGATTTTCTCTGGGGGGTTTTCCCCCTTTTTAAATCCTCCACCACGTTGCATATAAACATAGTCTTTGCAAATGACAGCTGGAAATAGCATGATGGTCTGGAGACACTGGAGGAACCAGGAGGACTAAAGAAACATTTCATTGTTGTAACACGCGAGTTCATTATTATTCCCAGACAGAAGGTGATATTAGCATTGCAGGTAAGAAAGGAACGAACACATTCTTCCGAGAAATCAATACGGAATTCAGGAACGATTATGAATGCCATAGGAATGACATTAATAAAGCACAAGAGCTCTTTCTACGTTTCTCCCGGAGCCGGCTGAATAATTTGCAGTGCGCTGATTCTTTCCCTTCCTTTCTTTCTATTTGCAAACAGTTTGAGATGCCATAGGACCTTGCTCGTTGTAGCCTAACTCGATCCGAGAACGAGCATTTTCATCTGTAAATTAAAGCAATTACGCAGCAGATATTATATGATGTGTACTGTGGTCTCCAGATAGTCATCAATCACCCTCAATCTAGCTGTCAGAGTGGGCAGATTCGTTTCTGGGAGGCAGTCTTCCAGCTGGGGAGAAGAGGAGAACATCATCATTAATTAGAGTGTGACCCTGGGGCTATTCACATGTCTGAACCCAGGAAGCTCTCCGAGCAAGTCTGCACAGCGCGGCGCAGCCCTCCGCGGCCCCGGCAGCCGGGGCTGGGCGCTGTGCTCGGGCCCCGCTCCGGGGTGCCCTGCTCCGGGGGTGCTCCTGGCCTTGGCACCGCTGCCAGTGGGGTGATGCCCGCGGACCTGGCCCAGCTGGGGCACGGGGTGCGCTCAGGGCCGGATGAACGCAGAGGCAAACTAGACACACGCCTAGGGCCCTAAGTGAAGAAGGGGCCCGATTGTGCTTCTTTTACATATTATGATCATCGGGGGGAGGAGGGGAAGTCATATAAATAAATATACAGTATTAAGTAGCCCATGTCTTATTTTGCCTAGGGCCCACTGAAGGGATAATCCGGCCCTAGTGTGCTGGCGGGAGAGGGAGCGAGGCTGCCCACTCCCCGGCCTGCCAAAGCCACCAGGTCTTCTCCCAGAGTCCTCCACCCTTTCCCCCAGCCCCTACCACCATCCTACTCCGCACCCGAGTGAACCCTCCACCACCCCAGGATCTGGGCTTCAGTGCCCCCAAAGGGTGCATAGGGCCCGGACCCTAAGTTGCAAATGGCCTTCCTGAGACAGCGGCCCGCCCCCCAGGGAAGCAGGGAGCCGCTGGCCCTGGCCCCCAAGCACTCCAGCTGCGGTGGGGCCCGATCCCTGTTCCTGGCGGGTGGTTGGGACCCTGGTTGCTGGAAACGTCTGTGTTTCTATACAAGGCACAAACTGAGCCTGGCACCGGCGAGCAGGGAAGAAACTCCCCGTACAGGAACCTCCCAGGTCAGAGGGGGTGTCCCCAGGGAGCACCTGCCTCTGCTCCTGGGCTTTCCAAAGCAATTGAGTAAAGTGATGTTAGCTTTAAGGAAAAAAAAATAGAAAGCCAAGCGATGAACCCGCTGAGGACAATTTGCCACCCGGCAGAGTGAGAGAGAGATCGCTACAGGATCCGGGCCGGCGCTGGCTTTTCTAACCAAGTGTTACCAAGCCAGGTCGCTGGCCCGGCCCGGAGGAGTCCCGCCTGCAGCAGGCGTGCGGATGTCATCGCACACATCTGGAGCCAAAGGCAGCAGCGCACATCTGGAGCCAAAGGAAACAGAACCGCGCGGGTCCTGAGCTTTATTGTATTGTCAGCGGCGGGGCTCGTTTTAACTGTTGATTAAATCTTCAATGAAGACTCAGTCGTGTGTCCCTTCATACGTCTCGTTTGTAATTGAGACTAATTATTACGGCGGGGTGGGAAGAAGCAGCTGCTCATTAATTAATTTCTAATTAAAAGTGCTTACCAGCTTGCAGTGACTAAGGGGGAAGGAACTTCTTAGGCGGTTGCAACATTGATTCTTACCCAGCCAGACCCTGCAAGGGAAAGCGATCCCGGTGCTAGAAGCAGAGCTAGCTGGTGCCCCGGTGCTTTCCAAACTTTAGCCCCCGCATGTGGCGGACTCTCTTTTGTACAGTCCCACCACACACCTAAAGCTACCCAATATGGATGGTAAACTTCCAGCCGGGTGAATGAGAGTAGGATTTATCTGACGTCAGAGGCTCTGCTGTTTAAAACAACGTGCATCTGCCTGGATGTTTGAGCTACTTTCCTTTTTTTTTCTTTCTTTCCTTTCTTGTGTGCAAAATCCCCGGTATCCCTGGCTCTCCACGTCTGTCAGTCTCCCACATGTAGCCATGGCTTCTGCTTTGCAGCTGTAGCCAAAAAAAAAAAAAAGATACAGCCAGCCATCATCGTACCTTTCTTTTTTTATTATTATTATTTCAGTTTTTAAAAGTTTCAGAAGCATGTCAGTACATTAAATCTGGTATTCTGCTTCGTCCTATAAGCATCTAGGAACCTGTGGGCACCGATCAATCGGTACAATAGAGCAGAGGCAGGCTGCAATAGCGTGCAGAGCAGACGTCTCTCCTCGTTCCTAGAAAACTGGGAGCCTCTGTACCATGTCATATCCTCAGTTCGGATACCCTTACTCTTCTGCACCCCAGGTAAGGCTCGATTGTCTGCAAGCCGTTAATTGATTGCATTTTAGTCATTATTGATTACTTCCGTTCCGTGCTAAAAGCTGCAGCGATCCGTCATAGGAGGCGAAAGCGTGAAATTGTTTGAGCCTTCAGCATGTCTGGGAGATATTTAAGTGGCACCTTGCGTTCACATTTGCCAAATGAAAGGACGGCGCAGGATTTGGGGTGTCCTTTCGGCAGGGGAGGGGGCTGGCGGTGTGGGGGAGGGGGCATGCAGTGACAAGGGGGGGAAAGTCCGCCACCGGCAATCTTTTCTCTCTCCGATCAGATGCCCTGTTTGCACACTTAAACAAGGAGAGCGCTGGGGACTTCACTGCAGAAACGTAACGGGGATAGTGTAAGCCAGAAGGTTAATAACAGATGTTTCTAGGGCTGTTACAAATCCGCAGTCAGTATAAATATGCATGAGTGATTTGGAAAGGAGGTTTAAAAACGCAGATGGGGGGTTGGGGGGTGGCATTGTGCTGCAAGGGAAGGCAAACGATGTAAATACAGTTCCTGTAAATGACATGGGAAAGTTACTTTTTCAAAAGTAACTCCTGAAAGAGCAGGAGAAACTCTCTTCTCCTTGGAGATGGCACCAAACGCCTGGATCTCACCCCGCTTTCTTGCTCGCTGTCCCCACCGCCCCGCCGGGAATGTCTGGAAGGCTGCAGGGGAATGATTCAGAAAGGGGCGTAAACTTAGCTGCGGGTTTTGCAAAGTTTTCCTCTGTCCTGTCTTTCCCCCTAGTTCCTGATGACCACCAATTCCTTGACTACTTGCTGTGAGTCTAGTGGCAGGACTCTGACAGAATCGGGGGCTGCCGCCTCGGCTCAGACCCCGGTCTATTGTCCTGTATACGAAAGCCGGCTGCTGGCTACAGCCAGACATGAGCTCAATTCTGCGGCTGCCTTAGGAGTCTATGGAAACCCTTATACAAGCACCCAGGGCTATGGAAACTACGTTACCTATGGCACTGAAGCCTCTGCCTTCTATTCCTTGGTAAGCAAGCCTGCAATCTTTCTTGTTACTCATTAGTAAAAACAAATCTCAGCTCAAAAGATAAGGGGAAATATGTCTCCTCGCTCCTTGGCGGGGGTGAGTCCCCCCCGGAGGGAAGCTGCGTCCTGCCCTTTCTTCAGAGTTGGAGCCGTTTCCCCCCCGCACTAACATCCATGTCCTGCAACACTTCGGCTGTACTAAGAAATCAGTCACGTTTGCAAGGCAGAGAGCACTTTAAGTGCCTAAATACACGCTCTTCTTTATGTTGTTGTTGGAGCTGCAGCCTGTGTTTTCACTCGGGCGGCATCAACGTGGCGGGGTTTGTTTTGCTCGCTTGTTTGCTTCCTGAGCTCTGTGAATATTTCATAAATGAAAAGATCTGTGACAGGGCAATGCAATGAAATGCCCGCTCGGCGGGTCTGCTGGAGACTTGTAGAAAGCAGGGGGGGTGTAGCTCGCCGGGGAGTTCAAAGTCGCGTAAGGTTCAGCCGGATCCAGGCACCCTCCGAGAAGCTTTCCCCTCTGGCATCGCCGTGGGGCGAGGCCATGTGCCCATCGACTGGCACTCGCCAGCCACGGAGCAACCAACCCGCTCCCTCCGCCGCAGCCTGAGCTGATTCTGGTCCTGGGTGAAGCCTCGTGGCTCGGCTGCCAGCCCCCTCCGTGCACCCTGACAGCCGTCATTAAAAGTTGCAGAGCCCTTTCTAGCTCGGGATTGTCTCGGGCCTGGGCAAGGCATTCAGCTCCCGGGCCCGCAGGGGGGTGACGCGGCTGCAAAGAGTGGAGGCCGAGGAGGCAGGGACCAAACCCCCCCCAGCCGCAGCCTTGCAAAAGTTGCCTTGCCCCTGAGCCTAGGTGCGGCCTGGCTCGCTGCACCCGCCCCCCTCCACCCGCTTCTCCCCCGGGTCGCTCCGAGGACAGACACGCTTGCTCTTCCCTTACAGAATAGTTTCGACGCCAAGGACGGGGCTGGCTCTGCGCATGCGGGCATCACCCAGGCCGCTGCCTACTACCCCTACGATCACACGCTCAGTCAGTATCAGTACGACAGGTAAGGGGCAAAGCCCAGCCTGGACCCCTCCCCCCCCTTC